AATTTAATTGCTTATTTTTATTATTTTACAAATGTTTAAATATTTATTTAAATTCTTTATGGATATTACTTATTTAATATTTAATTATTTTTTTATTTATTTTACTATTACTTGACATAAAATAAGTAATTAAACTAAATTAGCAAATAATAAATATTTAGATAAATAATAAAACATTTATTTTAAGCATTTTAAAGAATTAATTTTAAATATATAATATACATTAAAATTAAACAATTCAAATAAATAACACAATATAAGCAATTAAATGAAATAATTAACTTCAATAATTAAATGAAATAAATAATATATAAAATCATTTTTTTTTTCAAAAATTACTATAAAAACATGATTTTTCTTGGTATCAAAAGCTTACCTTCTTCAGAGAACAATGACCAACTGGGTCTCATGTTTTTCCTTTTCTATAGGTGCCTGGGTCGACGGCGTTACAGTAAATTTTCTCTTTCCTTACTGTCTTCTCTCTCTTCTTGAAATGGTAAGGGTAAATTTGAGTTTTTCTTGGTTTTCAAGATTTTAAACAATTTTGCCTTTTTTTTTTTAATTGGTCAAAGGGCTCTTTGGAAAAATGGCTAATTGATTTTCCACTGTTCGTATATATGCGTGGGTTACGTTGTGTGCTTGAGTAAATGCATTTTTGGTGGGGAAAGATTGCACGACTGTTCCCTAATTTATCACTCTAACATCAATTTAATTCTTAACTTTTATCGATAATTGAAATGGATAAGTCTAAATGTACATAAATTATGTATATAGAAGTGTTCACACCCCTCACATAGGGATGACAAAAATCCCGGCCCGTCTCGACGAGGCCCCGTCAAGAATGGGGCAAAAAAACTCCCCCCATGAAGATAAAAAAAATAAATTATTTTTAGATAATTTACCCGCTAAAGACTCATTTTAAATTTGTATTTTATTCTCTAATTATAACATAATTCTAAATTTTGAAAATTAAAAAAATGATAAAAAAATTAAACGGGATAACAAATCAGGCAAAAAGTCGCCCCAAACCTGCCCTGCCTCATCTAAGGCAAGGCGGGGCGGGGTGTGGCATTTTGGCTTGCTCTTCCGCCTCACCCCGAATCCGTCCTGCTACCATCACTATCCTCACATGGGGTGGGATGTAACCAAATTATGTACACCAAATACAATTCAATTGAAATTAGGGAAAATTGTAGTAGTGGTCCATAACCTTTTATTTTTTTGTAGATTTTATTTTAACCTTTACTTTGTACCAACCACATTTCCTTTCAAAAATATGCAGTTGGGATTTAAACGAATGGAAACCGTCCATTTGACCATTACTTGACTAATAAAATTGAACTTTGACCAATTTAAAATGATAACTTTGTTATTTAACTATATAAAATAATTAAAATAAATAACTAAAGCAAAATAAAAATAAAAGGAAAAATATTATTCACCTCTTTCTTCACTCTACGCACCCCACGCTATCCCACTCTATCCCACCCAAAACCACCGCCCAAATCAGTGGAATCTTAGAAGATGGCTGGGATTCAATTGCGAAATTCTATGCTTTTTCTTTTTGCTAATCTTAATTACAGTAAAAGCAAATCTATTCAGTCGGCATTCGGTCTCTTTTTCTCAGTCAAGATTGATTTATTCCCATCTCCTTCTTTAGCAAATGTGATTGGCGTGACTTCTCCTCTTCGACAATTTGTGCTTATTCACTCGTGCTCTTGCCGAATCGTTTTACTGGTTCCGCCAGCAGGTTTGGTATTTTCTTTTCTAAGGATGTTGGAATATATATTCCACATCAGCAAAATAATATTACAGATTCCAGAATATTCCTTCCAGTTTCAGCTTCTCGGCTGCCTCCTGTTTTCTCTATAAATACAGATCTTGTATTCATTTTTTTGGTTTGATTGGAATGTGGAATTCCAATCCCTCCTTATGGAGGCTTCATTTTCTCCTTTATGGAGTTTGTCATCCTCCTTTCATGGAGTGATTCATTTCCTCCTATTATGGAGTGATTTCCTCCTTGTATGGAGATGTTTTCTTCCTCCTTTTCAGGGAGTTGATTGTTTCTCCTTTAATGGAGTTTAATTCAAATTTTGTCAATCAATAAATTCTAATAAAGGTCAGAAAAAATGAGTACAGATTGCGCTAGAGCATTCCAGGTTGCGTTCTTCATCTCCCAAGATTAATACCGGATACTTTGGTGGCAATACTTGGAGCAGGAGCTAAATTAGGTAAACTTTTGCTAGAGTGGATTTGGGCGGTGGTTTTGAATGAGGTTGAGTGGGGGCGAAGATGAATAGTATTTTTTCTTTTATTTTTATTATTTATTTTAATTGTTTTATACGATTAAATAGCAAAATTACTCTTTTAGCCTATTAAATTGGTCACAATTGGTTAAAGTTCAATTTTATTGGTCAATTAGCAGTCCATTTAGATCCCAGGTCCATATTTTTAAAAGATTTGAAATTATGGTTGGCACAAAATGAAAATTAGGATAAAGTTTGTAAAAAGTGAACGATCAAGAACTATTATTGCAATTTCCCCTTGAAATTATAGTTTGCTTTCAAAATAGTTATCCGGTCATTTATAGAAGATTTTGACGGGACCGTCATTAGGGCTAATTGTACAATTATAATAAAATTTTGAAAAAAAGCTAATTGTATAGCATTTATTTTTTTATAGCCTCCTCACAAAGGTGAGGTTCGTGATTATTTTAATTGCGAACCCCGCCTATTGCATGTGCGCGCGCTTTAGACCATGCTGTGGAAATTAATGTACCAATAGCATGTTTCTAAAATTTTTAAGATCAAATTGTATTTTTCCAAAGATTGAAGATCAAAATATTGTCGAGGCTATAGACTAAGGTCTGACATTAATATTCATTGTTTTGTGATAATTTTAGGGTAAATTACCGCAATCTTGTCCGTCATCTTTGACCTCTTTTAACAATCTTCACCCATACATTTTTTCTTTTTAGCAAGTTCGTTCTTAACATTAAAATGGAGGTTTTGTCTTCGTAGACAGTTTCGTCGAAAAATCTATTAAAATGATATAAAAGACATAAAAACCAATTATTTAAATATAAAATGTGAAAATTTATAAAATCATAAAATCAAATGTTCTGAATAGGAGAACTTGTAAAGAATTTTGAAAGTATGAGAAAAACGAAAAGAAGAAAATGAAGGCATAGTGAATATTACCTTAAATTTGCATTATTAATAAGATACATTTGCTTTAATAAACATCTTTAGCTATTATTTTAAATTCACTGTTTAATGAGTTTTTTTTTTCTCGAAATATGCATCGCAAAGCTGATCACAAGTTTTTCGAAATGATATCAAGAATTTACATCGACATTTAACAAAATAAAATAAAATAACAACTTATTTTGAAAAAAGAAAAAGAAAAAAATAAAAACTTATTTAAAATAAAAAACTTTTATTTTTGTTTTTCTAAAATTTATTTTATATATATATATATATATATATATATATATAATAAAATAAAATTGGATGACCATGATAACACTAAGTATAAAGTTAGATAACCATTGGTGTATTTAACCCGATTTTGACTCTTAAAAACCATTTCAAGTTGGTACCTGATCATCCCAGAATTACCCCGGTCTCGAACTCGACCACTCTACCCCGATCTTGTCCCCTCTCAAAACTCCCAGTCTGAGGTCGGGACTCTATGTCGTCATGAGGTCTTTTTGACGACCTATGGGAACACAAATTCTACCTAACCTACAATTCTTACCTAGCTAGACTCCCTTTTCGACTCAAACAGTGGTTGAATACTTGGAATAAAATACTAACTCCTTATCCTACATGAATAAGGATCACCCATGGCTAAGTCCTTCTAGGACTCTATCATCAGCACCTATAAATATATAACCCGGGCTCATTCTTGAGGTACGTTTTTCATTATTTCCAGTTGATAGTCTCACGCACTAAATTTCATATCTGATTTAAGTATCGGATGGACGACGACCAGCACACACCTCGTTGCCTTTGTTGCAGGTATTCAAAGATCGTTAGTATTCATCAGGATTCGGAGTTCGATAATCAAGTTCGAGATTTTTCAGGTACTATTTTTTAGTAGCATCATTGGCACCGTTTGTGGGAACCGCTACCAAAAGCCATGGTCAATACACGTTCAGGTCTTCCTCCAACAAGCTCATCCGTTTTGGATAACCCTCATCCTCCTGAGGAACGCCATGTCCCTCAAGAAGAATCGTTGGAGATGCCAGCACCTCCTCAAACTGTTGTTACCGTCAAAGCTTTTGAGGAACTTCGTCAGTAGGTGGCTACATTAACCCAATTGTTAAGCCAGAGAAATTCGCACTCGTCGCATACCCCAACACCCGAAGGTGGTTTTATTGTAGACGTTTGGGCTCGAGTCCGTCGTACAGCTCATGATAACGGCGGGGTTGGAACTTCAGGTTCAAGGTCTGTTACAATGGACTCCGCTGAACTTGCTAGAATTATTCAGGAAGGGATAGCAGCGGGTATGCAACAAAATACTCGGGCAGCAACAGGGTTTACCCTCAATACGCCATTCACTCTGGAAGTCCTTTCGCATCCTCTTCTCGACAGGTTCAAGTATCCTCGGATAAAAGAGTACGATAGGACAACCGACCCCATCAATCATCTCAATGTATACACGGATAACATGAACTTACAGGTTGCACCAGATACAGTAATGTGCAAGGCCTTAGCTCAGACCCTCACGAACGCAGCTAGAGATTGGTTTTCCACATTGGATCCCAACTCTATCGCCTCCTTCTCAAATTTGGCCGATAAGTTCTCCGTTTTCTTTGCAATAGCAAGCGAATCAGAAAGACAGTCGTATCACTCATACAGATGCATTAAGGACCTAACGAGACACTACGCAGTTTCAGGACCAGGTTCAATAAAAAAAGGCTTCAGATCCCTGATCTACATATCACAGCAGCAGTCTCAGCTTTGACATACGCCATTAAGTGTGAAGCATTCAAGATGTCCCTGTCTAAGACCCCACCGAAGTCAGTAACCGAGCTACTAATTCGAGCTAAAACGTACATTAATATGGAAGAAACCATGGTCCCAAAAAGAGAAGTTTCCTCATCAGGAAAGTCTGATCAGAAAAGACCGCACGAGTCTAGTCTGAGACAAGATGTACCTCGGGTCAAGCTGAGACAGGACCCCTCCTCAACCTCCTTTACCCGTTTGAACACCTTGAGGTCCAACATTCTAATGGAGATCAAGGATTCAAAGGAGCTGAAGTGGCCTCCCAGGTTGCGGTCTCCACTCGATACTCGTGATAAGAGTAAGTACTGTGATTTCCATAGAGATCATGGACATGCAACGGAGGATTGTTTCACTTTGAAGTGGGAGATTGAAACTATTATAAAAAGGGGATTTTTGGGCTCTTACATTAGTAATGACAAGCGCCCAAGAAATTATCAGAATAGAGACAAGGACCCAGAGGGTCGGGGAAACAAGCAACCAACCGCAGGTATTATCGATATCATTGTCGGAGGAATATCCTCGGGTGGAGATTCGAGTAGCGAGCATAAACAATATGCCAGGCAGCCTCCAGCCATCTCAAAATCAGACCTTAGTTCTACAGAGGACATCACTCTTGGAACAGGGGACTTGGATGGCATAACATTCTCTCATGATGATGCTCTGGTCATATTGGTCATCATCGCCAACTTTGAAGTTAAGAGAACTCTGGTAGACAACGGAAGTGCGGCTAATGTACTTTCTCATGTAGCCTTTGTTCAAATGGGGATCTCATCGGAACAACTTAGGCTGGTGAAAACGCCTCTCCAAGGGTTTGGAGGTGGGGTTATCACCTCGGAAGATATCGTCGGGTTGCCTTTAACATTAGGGACAGAAGGTAAACAAGTGACGCAAATCACCACTTTCGAAGTTGTCCGTACTCCAATGGCCTACAACGCCATATTGGGAAGACCACTGCTCAATAGAATTCGAGCTATTGTCTCAACTTTCCACTTGGCTATGAAGTTTCCTACGAGTAATGGAATCGGGATAGTTCGAGGCAGCCAAATAGTAGCATGACAGTGTTATGTGACTAGTGTTCGAAAAATCAAGAACGACATGTAAGTTACAGAGCTCGAGCACGAAAATCACGGGAGACTGGCTTCGGTGGAAGGATTGGAGAAGGTCGAGCTCGAGCCTGGAAGGAAAGTGACAATCGGTTGGGGGCTAGATACATCAATCATGTCTGAACTAGTGAATTGTCTCTCCAGCAACATTGATGTATTCGCTTGGAATGTTGAGGACATGCCTGGAATTGACCCAGAGGCTGCAGTGCACAGATTGAATGTAAAATCGGAGGCAAGACCTGTAAAGCAAAGGAAAAGACAATTTGCACCGAAAAGACAAGATGTCATAAAGGAAAAAATCGCTAAGCTGGCAAAGGCACAGTTCATTCGGGAAGTACAGTATCCTGATTGGCTTGCCAATGTAGTTCTTGTCAAAAAGGCTAACGGGAAGTGACGAGTCTGCATTGAATTCACAAATCTGAATAAAGCATGCCCCAAGGACAGTTATCCTCTACTTCGAATTGACAATCTTGTGGACAGCATGTCAGGTCATATGCTGTACAGCTTCTTGGATGCCTTTTCGGGTTATTACCAAATACTCATGACGAAAGAAGACCAAGAGAAGACCTCATTCATGGCAGACTCAGCCATCTATTGCTATAGGGTCATGCCCTTTAGGCTGAAGAATGCTGGAGCAACATATCAAAGGTTGGTAAATAAGATTTTCGTCGAATTAATTGGGAAAACAGTCGAAGCATATGTGGATGATATGGTGGTTAAGAGCAAACAGGTGAATGATCATGTCTCTGATCTTGAGGAAGTTTTTGCTACATTGAGGAAGTACAACATGAAGCTCAACCTTACAAAGTATGCATTTAGGGTGGCATCTGGAAAGTTTTTGGGTTTTATGATCACGCACAGAGGAATAGAGGCAAACCCTGATAAAATCTAAGCTCTAATGAGTATGGAGGCCCCTAAGTGCAAAAGGGACATTCAGAAGTTTACAGGTCGTGTAGCGGCACTGAACATGTTTGTTTCCTGGGTAGCGGATAGGTGTTTCCCCTTTTTCAGACTACTTAGGGAAAATAAAAGCTTTGACTGGAATGGGGAATGCAACTTAGCTTTTCAAGAGCTCAAGCAGACGTTATCAACACCTCCAGTTCTTACCAAACCCGAATCCGGTGACACGTTGCTATTATACTTGGCTGTTTCTCATAATGCAGTAAGTAGGGTCTTGGTAAAGGAGTCTATTATGTAAGTAAAATACTCCTTGATGTAGAGACACGATACACACTTGTAGAATAGCTCGCCCTAGCTTTGGTAATAGCTGCCAGAAAATTACGGCCATACTTTCAGTCACATCCAATTGTTGTGCTCACTAACCAACCACTTAGACACATACTCCAGAAGCCGGACGTCTCAGAAAGACTGTTGAAATGGGCAATTGAACTTGGCGAATTTGACATAGACTTTAAGCCACGACCTGCAATCAAGGCTCAAGCTTTGGCTGACTTCATAGCAGAGCTCACTACAAGGCCCTCAGAAACACAAGCTAAAGACCCGAGCACGACCTGGAAATTATGGGAAATCTTTGTGGATGGAGCATTCAATAGCTCGGGCTCGGGGGCCGGCGTCATCATCACTAGCTCGGACAAGGCTACAGAAATACAATGTGCGCTCAAATTTAAATTCAAGGCCACCAACAACAAAACAGAATATGAAGCCGTTATCATAGCCTTGGAACTGGCAAAAAATCTTGAGTTAGAGCATGTCAAAGTTTTCAGTGACTCAAAACTAGTGGTCGGGCAAATCGAGGAGTCTTTCGAAAGAAAGGACGAGAAGATGAGCTTATACTGCCTGAAAGTACATGACCTCCCGAGATAGTTCGTAAGTTGTAAAATCCTGAAGATATCCAGAGCTGATAAAGCCACACATCAAGATAGTTGCAGAACCTAGCATAACTCAAAAGTCAAGTGTCATGGACATCGATCATGAGCCCTCCTGGATGGATCCAATAGTTGACTACATAAGTAATGGCAACTTAAGACCCTCGGCTTGCTAGGAGTATTCAGTATAGAGTTGCTAAATATTGTCTAATCGAAGGAGTTCTGTTCCGCAGAAGTTTCACACTCCTATATCTAAGATGTCTCAAACCTTCCGAATCTTTTCAGGCCTTAACTGAAGTTCACGAAGGTATTTGTGGAAATCACCAAGGAGCTCGAGCTCTTGCATATAAGTTGATAAGATATGGGTACTACTGGCCAAGTATGAAGAAGGATGCTGCAGATTACATTCGAAAGTGTGACAAGTGACAAAAGTTTGGCAACATCATACATGCTCCTGCTGAGGAGCTAACCCCCATTCATTACTTAGCTCCCTTCAAACGGTGGGGAGTCGACATTCTTGGACCGTTCCCCTTGGCCCAAGGAAAATTAAAGTTTGTAGCTGTGGGGGTAGAGTATTTCACAAAGTGGGTAGAGGCTGAACCATTAGCAACAATTTCGGAGCCGAAGCTCAGATCATTCATATGGAAGTCTATCATATGCAGGTTTGGAATACCGAAAGTCCTCATCACAGGTAACAGAAGGCAGTTCGACAATCCACAGTTCAGGAGCTTCTGTGCCAACCATGGGATTGATCATCGCTTGACCTCGGTGTCACACCCACAAAGTAATGGGCTTGCCGAAGTAATTAATTGGATCATATTGCAGGACCTTCGAACAAGAATAGGATTGCCAAAGGTGACTGGCCTGATGAGCTGCCTTCTATACTATGGGCATATAGAACTTCGCACAAGACATCAATGGGGGAGACACCCTTCATGCTTGCCTTTGGACTTGAGGCTACCATTCCAATCGAGGTCAACCTTCCCACAATAAGGAAGCTCGAGATGAATAAAGAGAGAAAAACTACTGAACAAATTGACTTGCTTGAAGAAGTAAGAGAGAAAGCCTCACTTAGAGTTGCAAATTATCAGAACAAAACGGCGAGGCACTTCAACCACAAGGTCCAGAAAAGAAGGTCAAGAGCCGGCGATCTCGTCCTTAGAAAAGCAGAAGCTGCCGGACACCTACCAGAGAAGCTCAGACCAACATGGGAAGGACCCTTTGAGGTCATTAGAAAATTAAAATGAGGAGCTTACAGTCTTAGGGACACATCAGGGAAGCCGCTCCCAAGGCCGTGGAACGCCAACATTCTTAAAATTTATTACAAGTAACTAGCTATAACTATAATTTTTCCTTTTAAGGCTTGCATGCCCACTTTATGTTTGCTTTATTTTATTTTTACTTTTCGGGCTCTAACGCCCTAGCAACTCATGCTCCAATAAGCTCGGGTATCAACGCCCCTGAGCCCTTTTAATAATATATGAAATTTTCTTTACGATGTTGCTTCCCTATTAACAAAATTAGCATAAGACCGTGCTCCAAACATTCAGTTAATGCCTTAACAAAATTAGCATAAGGCCGTGCCTCGCGCATGCAACTAATACCTTGACGAAATTAGCATAAGCCAATGCTCTAAGCATGCAGCTAATGTCTTAACAAAATTAGCATAAGGCTGTGCCCCACGCAGCTAATACCTTAACAAAATTAACATAAGGTC